GTTGGCCATTGCACAGGGCTAGCACCTCCTATAAACATCCTGCTAGCTAGGTGTACTATGGCGCGCCAAGGGCTAACGGAACTGCCGTTAGCAACCAGTGTTCTATATAAAGTTTCTTTTTTAAAACCATTTTCAAACATACGAGAAAATCATCACTTTCAAGATACAGTTCTCGTTCTCAAAATCAAACTCGCATGAATACTTTTAAGCATTAAAACTTGCCAGAATCAAATTTCATATCTAATATTCATGCTTGTATTTATTGAATAAATAAAAAGAATTTCAACTTTGAACTTGCATGAATTATTCTTTGTATCTATCCAATATTTGATAGAATAAAAATCTCACAATCAAAGTTCAAACTTAATTTAATTGATCAAATCACATTTCAAATTTGATAAAGCTAATTCCACAAAATAAAGTAACTTTCATCAATAAAATCTTCGACAATCACGTTGTTACTATTAGCATGATTTGTAGAAATATATAATATTTTAGTAAAGAAAATTTTAATTGAAAAAAAAAATCAGTTGGGACGTTATCCACTTACCTGTAACAGTTTCAACCTCAAAACTCTTTTCTTTCAGCTCCAATCAAGTTACCCTGCTTACGATTACCCTATAATATATAATAAAATCTTCATGAACCTTGCTTTTGAATTAACAAGTCCTATTTTTAAGAGAGTCCACTCAACTAGAATTAATAAAATAATAATATACCTTATAAATCATCAACCATTTAACTCTTAATAATTTAAAACTTCAAATAAAATTTTGACAGCTTATTAAATACATCCCTTGTTAAAGCCTAATTGAGATATACAAATACTAATATCTAGGCCAAATCATCTTCCTTAAGAAACTATCACTATTAGATACTAAAACAAACAATCTTTATCAATGGACATTTTATCAAACATCTGTCATGCGTGAATCCTCCAACCAAAATCTCACTTCCTTTTCTATAAATTTCATTTCCCAAATAATATCACATTCATATTTGAGATAACTCAGCTTGCCTTTTAATTTTTAGTCCAACAAAAATCAAATTTATTACTCAAAGAAATCAAATCCCTAACATCTCATTACTCATGCACAGTAGAAAAATGGGGAATAATTCACAATTCTGATCCAGCCATATGCGCACAACACGAGAGAGTTAATGGTCAAAGCTTCTTACCTTAAATCACCATCATCACAAAAGAGAAGAAGAAGAAACTTGGACGCTGAACAAGGGAAGCAAACGTCCAACAGTGACGCTTTACAGGAAATAAAAAGAGTCTGTGACTTTGCCAAGCTCCTACTAGGTACAAAGAAACAAAGATTCTAGCAGCAAAAATAATAAACACACAAGCTGAACACCTTACAAAACTGAACCAGCTGTGACTCGAAACAGGGGAGTCATCTGGCACGGTACACAGGGAAGGAAAGAAATGACTTCAACCGTACCAGATCAAGCAGGAAAATCTCACAATCAACACCAGCATTATCGACGGCTTAATTTTTCTCGCCCATCCGTGATGTGAACAAAGGCGACGAAGACAGCAGCAAATGAGAAAAATAGAGACAGGAAGCACGACTGAGGACCTGGCTTTGTTCGGGAGTAACGAGCTCCCATTTCACCAGTAGTGAGGGTAGGATAGCAGAGAGAGATGGAGTCAAATAACACATGATGAAAAAGTCTAAAGTTTCGATCTCAGCACTCTCCGTAACTCAAAACGTGATTGAAGAAAGAAAGAGAAGGAGGAGAGAGGGTACTCAAAGCCCATGCATGATGGCCGAAACTCTCTCTCTCTCTCTCTCTCTCTCTCTCTCTCTCTCCTCAATAGTTGGAAATGGCAGGGGAGAAGGAGAAGATGAAAGAAATGGGGAGAGTTTTTTAGATTCCTCTCATCCTCGAACATCATCCGAAAGAGGTGAGGAAAATAGAAAAAAATTGCGAGCTCTCCCTCTCTCTTCTGCCTGCTTCACCGACTTATAAGGTCAAAGGAAGTCAAATAATATCTCATGGGGAAATTTACAAAACAAGACCTGAAGTTAATTGGGAAAATTTTAAAAAAAGACCCTATCAATTTTTGTTATTATAATTTTTTTATAAAAAAAAGTAAGGACTCTTTAGTACTTTTCCATAAAAATAAACTAACATTTGGCTAAAGTAAAATTTAAACTCTAGACCTTTATATAAATATCCAGTATAAATTCTAATATACCATTGCTCTTTCTTTATCATAAAAGGAAAATTAATTAATTATCAATTGAAAGGAAATTTATTTAATTTAAAATTTAGAGTCATTACACCACACCTTTAATCGATTACGATAGAATATGATAGGAGGAAGAACAAATTTGCTGTGCTGAACAGGGAAAGAAGAAAGGAACCTTTTATACTAACCCACAACAGCAAAAATCAAAGAAGAGACAGCACCTATCAATCATATAAGGAAGAGAAATTAAGGTTAGTTCATGCCCAAAACTAAGGAGGAAGAGAATTTTAAGATGACGCACCACGCATCACTGTCAGCCACGAAGTAGAGAAGAGGCAAAGAACGGCTAAACAAGAGAGCGAATCCAGTGATCTCCCACTTCCAGCTGTGAAATAGCGACGCGAACAGAGGAAGCTAATGGCAAAGATCTAGGAAGCAAGTCGATGGTAAAGAACAGAAACGCAAACCAACAATAAAGAATTAAGGGAGCTTATGTCGGTGAAGAAAGGAGAGAAATTGAGGAAAAATGAAATGATCTATTGGCATAAGAAGATTATAAATTCTGACCAAAAAGGAAAATTGGGAAAACTAGAAGATATGACGCAAGGAAAGATTACAAGAATGAGCCCAAAATTTTCTATAATTTAAAACAAAATAAAATCAAACTTTTGCTCAATGAAAATCAAACTCTAGACCTTCAAAAAGTTACTAAAGTAAATTTCACCAAACTACCACTCTCCACTTTTCATAAAAGTAATTTAAATAAAAATATCAATTAAAAAATATTTAATTTAAAATTTTAGGTCATTACACACAATAACTTCAACTCATCAATTAATGGTTGTAGGTAGACATCAATTGCATTTCCAGGAGATCGTGACTTTGGAATAAGTCAAGTCATCAAAAAATATTATGGTGCACAAATTTGAAGGAAAATTATATATGGTCAATATAACTGGCCATATTCTATGAGATATGTTCATGGTTCTAAATGGATTAAATCCATTACTAGCCAACCTAAGCCTTATATTATGAGAATCAAGAGAAAACTTTGAGTTCTTAGCATCAAATGCTTGGCTATCAGCTCGATGCCTTAATTTACCATCTATTGAAAGACCTTCATCATGCCACCTTAATGAATCAATAGTCCTTGAGCACATGAATAACCTTTGCAATCCTCAAATTAAAGGAAAGTATCTAAGAACTTTAGAAGGAACTTTGTGAGCTTTCTTAGATTCATCAACCTCACAATCTTCTTTAGAATATTCAATCCATCATGAAGATCCATATAGATGACAAAGTTTGGCATCCTTATGCTCTTTCCAAAACCACATGCAATCATTGGGACATGCATCAATTTTTTTGTAATCTAAACCCAAGTCCCTTATTATAGATTTTGTTTTATTAAAAGAGGTGGAGATATTCAAATCAAGAAAAGCTTCTTTCAATAATTCTAGAAGTGCTGTAAATGATGCATCACTTAATTTCTAAAGGCATTTTAATAAATAAATTTGGATGGTAAATGACAAGGTGGTGAATTTCTCACGACTAGGATATAACTCTTGTTTCCCTTCATCAAGCAGTTTATAGAACTTTTTTGCTTCTTCATTGAGGGCTTCACAAATATCATTTGCTTCAATTACATTTTTAAATGTTTCATATGATAAACAATCTATGTCATCACATAAAACATCTTCACCACTAGTGTCATCATCAACATCCATAGCACCTATCCCTTCTCCAGTGAAAAACCCAATTGGTTTAACCTCACATAAAGCCTTTGCTTATTAAATGGTCATATACTACACCTCTTTTTTTCCACCTCCCATTGCAACATTTAGTGTAAGGTCATAAAATCTCATTTTCAATAGGATTTCCATTAGTGAACACCAAATCTTGAAAATACTCAACACCTTCAATGTAATCATCACCATACCAAGGCTTATCGACCCAGTCCTTCTCCAACATTATACAGTATTTTGAAAGTTTATATAAGAAGTTAGTGTTAAAATCATTGCCTTAAGAGGCATTGTCACACCCTAATATTAAGGGTATGATTAGCATGGAATATGAAGTGAACGCACATTCCATAAGCCTTTACTAACTAGAAATTAAGCTAAAATAGCTATATTTGCAAGTTATATATAATAGTAAAGTTCGTAAAGTTTTAAAGTTTTTGTAAAAATTTCAGCAAAGTCTACCTTAAAATTTGGACCTCTTGAAATTTCTACAACAACAAAACCTGCCAACTAGACTAGCTCCATTCCAGTAATTTTTATAATAATAAAATAAGACTAGGATCTTACTATGGTGTACGTGGGGTACTAAATTATAATTACAAAATATAGTACCTAGTTTACCAAAACAATAATTGCAATATGCCTCCTCTTTTTCCAAAACAAAAAAACAAAAAGGCCCTTAATGATCTACTGGAGGTGCAGGGTCAGCTATAATATTTGAAACCAAATAAATTATTGGTGAGTAGCGTTTCAATCAAAATTATAAATAAGAAAATGTGAAGATAATAAATAATAAATTTAGCTTCAAATGACTTAATGAAATAATGAATTACATCCTTTAGCTAGAAATAAATAAATATTTTTCCCAATAATATGATTTTGAGATTAAACAATGCTAATAAGATCACATATATGTTAAAAGTTTATATTAACCATAAATATAAAATTTTCAATGATAGTGTAGTGCGATAAAGTACTTTCAGAGAATTATTAGAGAAATGATAAATTTTTAGCTTAAACTTAGGAAGGGCTTTATCAGAACAAATAATAAGCGTGGACACACAATCCACGAGGGTAAATAACTAATCAAGCATGGACATACAATTCACAAGGGTAAGTAACCAGTCAAACGCAGCTAGAAGCCACGAAACAAGCAGCAAGTGCACGAATCAAGCGCAAGCATGAAGCCCACAAAAACAAGCATGAGTACAGTGTTCATGAATACCATCCCTCCGATCCACATGCGTTAGCTTTCACATGGGGCTAGCACCTCCTATAAGCACCTCGCAAGCTACGTATCCCATGGCATGCTAAGGGCTAATGGAACTGCTGTTAAAATCCAGTATTCTGAACTCAGTCTCCCTAATTAAAATCAAGCTTACATAGAGTTGAAAAAAATTTCAAATTTTTCACTTTCAAAATATGTGATTTGGTTGTCATCTTCCATTCCCATAATCAATTTCATTTCTTCCATGCACAAGTTGTTGTACTAAAAGTTTGCACATCAAACATAAAGTTAAACAGTTAGGTTGTTTTTGAAAAGTAACACTATTTGTCGTACATCAACTTTAATTATTACTTATCAATAGCATAAATCATTAGTAAAATTAAGATATCATCATTAATAAAATAATTATTAAAAAAATAGAATTGACAAGAATGTTTATATAACTAATAAAGAAATAGTATTAAAATTTAAGTAAAAGAATTTTTATAAACAATTGCTTGAAATTCATTCAAAACTCGACCCACTCACCTGATAGTTTTTCCAAAATTCTAAAGTATGCTTTCTTAATCTTTCACTTTAATTCTAATGGTGTTCCTGATTTCTTGAAAAACAAATCATAATTCTAAAATCATTTATCAAGAAATTTTTCAATCACTATTTGTGTATTAAAATTCAATCCAAAATAATGTTAACGATAATATTCCAACAAATTATGTTTTAAATATATTTAAATCAGTTAAAACATTTGACAACTTTTCATTTATTCTCATAATTCTTTATGACTTATACTCATTCATAAATCATAATAAACCATATCTATTATTCTTAAGCTTCATCTAGACTAAAATTGTGAAACAAGCATTGTATACAATCATTTCTCTCATTTTGCTATTTTAAAATTTTCAATTAACAACTTGAACCAAATAATAGATACTTCTCCTAGCGAATCTTAACAACTCACAATTCACCAAATGTCCCTATCCCACATTTTTACAAATACTTTGAGGGCATGATTTATCATTAACAAATTTATGAGATAATTACCCATGCATTTCAACAACTTTCTTTCCCTCCATGTCTTCTTTATATCCACGAACACATTGAGGGCATTCTCCAATTCTCCAATAATTAAGTTATGAAATGAACATATCCAAGTAAGTTCTACAACTCCCAACATTAAATTCCATGGTTAAATATCAGCTTAACATCATTATTAACCATTCCCACCATCAACTGAATTTTCTCCTTACACTCGGCTAAAATATTACAACCACAGTGAAGAACAAAAACTGCACCCAATGGCTGGAAAAAGAAGGAATGATTTGGTGGGCTATATAATCCGACGAGAAAGGAAAGAACACAACATCTTACCTTAACAAAGCTCAGTGGCAACAAACATAAATCAGCCACTGAACAGCGTCGAAGGAGAAAAGCTAAGGGTTTCAATCTGTCATACACACGAGAAGACAAGACTATAATTTCAGCCAATAATAAAAGAATCATCTACCACATGCACGCACACTGGATTTTGACAGCAGGGAAGGAAGAAAAGAAGAAGAAAAACACTAACCCCTGAATATGCATCTCGGTTAAGCGCAAAACAGAGCAACAAAAACTATTCAACCTCTCCAAAGATAGCGAAGAGGAAGAAGAAGAAGGCAACAAAGACAGCAACTCGATGGAAACCTCTCGGCCATACAGAACAGCACGATGATAAAAAAGGAGAATCAGCAACCAACTCACTGTGGCTGGTGAACGTGAATAAAGATGATGACAGCGGATGAAGCACAACAGCGAGAAATCAACCACTTGTGACAGCGAGCTACGGATGTAGATAAGAGACAGAGATAGACCGACTATGAATGTCTAGAAGAGTGTATATAGGTGGTGGAAAAAAAAAAAAGAAATGAGATGCTCTGTTTTCTTTGCACGAAAGAAATGGTTTTCCGATCAAAAGAAGGTTGGGAAAAATTACAAAAAGGAACATGTGAAATCACAAGAAAAGGCACAAGAATATTACAAAAGGATACAAGATTTTTAATTTAAAACTAATTTTAATTTTTTTTCAATTTAAAATTTAAGGTCATTACAGTATAATATATATTAACTATATCTCTGTCCCTACCAAGATGTAAGCAAAGTGGTTGCATGTTATATGCATAAGGCTTATCCACCTAATACATATTTTTTAAGAATAAGGTTGTTTTAGTCTTTGGTTACCTGATTGATACCATTCACAACTCAACTAACACACACTCACTTGACTTTTCCTTACAAACTAACAAAAGTAAACAACGGCAGCTATAGACTAATGAAACATGGGTGGAAAAGGAGATGAAGGATTTAGCTTTTGGTGCAAAATAGATTAATTAGATAGTATCTACAACAATACTGATTTTTGTTAATAAAAAGCTACATTAAAATTAAATGAATAATAATATTATTACATATAATACTTATATAGTGGAATGGATCATAGAGGCGCGAACAAAAGCATTTCGGGTAACACCTCAAGAAAAAAGGCACAGTGAGCACTTGGGAGTAAGCATAAAAAAGGATATGCATGTGGTACATGCAAAGGCTAACAGTGAGACGTATGCATTTTTCTTAAATATATTTATCTCAATTTTGAACAATTTTCTATATTTATAAAATTGAATACATATGAAAATACAAGGATACGGAAGATAATATGTTTTTGAAATTTGAACTGATTTGCCAAATCCAGCAACATGGACAAACTTTACTGACGAAAATAAGAAGATTTTGTCTAAGTCGCATTCATATTATTCATTCTCAAAAGCTAGTAATCCAACCAACTATTTTTGTTTAAAGTAATTTTTCACATGTGTAGCTCACTGTGAATAATGCGTTTGAAAAATCTTTTAATAAATTTGACAGAGCAATTTGTGTTTGGATTTGACTAAAATATTCTAGTGACTATGTGGAAAAGGATAGGAGTGGATGGAAGTAAATTAGGAGCGAAATTGTAATATACGAAGTCAGATTCATTTACTTAAATGAAAAGCAGTAGAAATGACTATATTCATGAATCATAAACTAAAATGAAGAAAAACTAAGTGCTAGATTATAATATTCCCTGTTCCCTTTTTCTAATTCCCCTGTGCTCTTTCTCACATCATTTCCCTTCCATTCCGCAGAACCAGCCTCCCCTGTTAGCCACAAGCATTGCTACATCCAAACGCCTCACCTGTTACAAGATAACATTAGAATCTACTCCCGTTCAAAGTTTTAAGTAAATGACACTCATATTATTACTGAGAGAAATAGTAGGTTGGGTTAGTCTGCAAAATGGGGATTCAGCAACTAGTGCTAACATAAAGAGAAATCAGAAGATTTTGAGCAAGGAAGCTAATGAAAATGAAAGCCCAAAGGATTATTCTTACCCTTTCCTCAAGAACACCAAGAGCAGAGGGCAGCGAACCACCACGAGAAGCAGCAGTAACCCACAGCAGCTGTCAACTCTACCAACGAAAGAAGATAACACCAAAAGCGAGTCAACGGCAATCCACGGCAACCGCGGCGGCAGCAACCTAAGTAACGACGATAACCCCAGAAGCGAGTCGACAGCAAAGAGTGGACCACCAATGAAGTAGAGGTGAATATTTAGGTTCAGAGAGTCCGATTCATGGAGCAAGTGGGATTTCTTGTTTGCAATATGGGATTTCTTGTTATGTAGCCCTTTCCGTTCTATCAAGATATTAGAAACAATTATTTTGTTAATATAAATTAATAATTGATTTAGTAAATAAAATTAATATAAATTATAAAATTAATTAAAAAATCGCCTGAAAGAAAAGGTCCATCAAGTGGCCAGAAAAAAAATTCGGTGTGGTTTGTTTGGTGGGAAGAGATAGACAACCGGTATTTTTTTGTTTCGAATTCGAATGCAAAATGTAGAAGGTAACAGGTAATTTTTTTGTTCCCTGTGTAAAATATAAAAGGAAACAGGTGGTAAATTGTTGGGTCCAGATTCTCTCAGTATCGGCCTTCTTAGCATCCTTTAGAATCTCTAAATCCTGACCGCTCAAACAATCTAAAAGCTCACAATATGCCACATCACAAGGCATTTAAAATGCACCTCAACTGTCCACTTTGTTTTAATCCTGATGGTCCATTCTCAGCATCATTAAAATACGTACAAAAACACTCCAACTCAAACATACGTCGATTTTCTGGAATTATGTTGCTGAGCTCGGCGAGAAAACTACAAAAAGGCAAGGTAAGGTAAAATAACTCATATCTTTTCATGAAAATTTGTATCTTTTACATATTTTCACGGCTAATGTGACAAAAATCTCAAAAGTTTTTTTTTTTTAAACTTCCTCTCCATTTAAAACAAAGGCTTTTTTTTTTAAGGTTGGCATTTTTTCTTTATGAAATTCATAAACAATGCTATATTACTTTTGTTTAGCAGTGTAGAAGATTTATTTATTGTCTTTATGATTTCACTGATGATTATATAAAATCAAAATGTTGCATTTTTTAGTCTTATTCCTAGCTTTCTTTTTTTACTAACCCGTTAACATTACATGGACGTCGCTATTCTTTTCTCTTGACATCAAGGACTATTCATCTTATAAGCTTACTGTTCTATTCAATTTTTGCTGTGATTTTGTGCGTGTGTGTGTGTGTGTTTCATGTATTCCTATTGTAGGTTTCAATCTATGGAAGCTGATTTGGCTCCTAGAGTAGGGAAACAATTTAATAATCTAGAGGAGGCATGGAGGTTTTGGAATGATTAAGCTTCTAGAGAAGGTTCCAGTGCAAGAAATAATGGGTTAATAAAAAGTAAGAAGGATAAAAAGACAATTATTTTTTATCTTTTTCCAAGCCCTCATTGACTATAAGTCATTTAAATACCCTTAAACTCTCTTAAAATATTATTAACCTAATTAAATCAATATGTAAGAATTTGGCATGTTACATGTGTTTTAGGACAAAAGAGAACTAGGCTTCTCTGTAAGCTGAAACACGCATGGGTAAATTAAGGTTCAAGCAAGAATTAAAAGGTTGCACATTGTAAGATAAAACACACTCGCTTTTAAAACAAGCTTGCTTTGGCTTGTTCAAGCTTAAAGCTCTCTAAATTAGACTTGAAAATTTTCTAAGTGTTTGAAATATTTAAGTGTAAATCAAAATGGGTTTTAGTGGAGTTTAAAATTTTAATTTCCTGACATTTATAAAATACTATAAAATTCAATGCCATCTTAAATCTTAGGTAACATTTCATTAATTAATAAAATGCCACAAAAAACCAACAATAGTGGTGACATTCTCTTAAAAAAATGCCACCTCTTTACTTACTTTTAAAAAATAAAAAGGAAGAGATGTGACATTTCTTGCAGGAAATGTCAATTCTCTGCTTTCTTTTTAAAAAATAAAAAGGAAGAGAGATGGTGTTTCTTGCAAGAAATGCCACCTCTCTATTTAATTTTTTAAAAACAAAAGGAGATAGATGGCGTTTCCTGCATAAAAAATGCCACCTGTCTCCTTTTATTTTTAAAAAAATTAAAAAGTGCCACTTTTTTATATATATATATATATATATATAATTTCTTATATATCTATCAATTCATAGACATAATTTTCTTAGTAAATACAAATTTAATATATACAATAAATTTTATTTATATAATTAAATAATCAATTTCATACCATATAAAACTATAATAAATTCAGTAAGATCATAAAAAAATCAAAGATAAAGAAAAAAAACATAAACTAAATATTAGTTAAGAGATATAATAAGGTTTATCGGTAATTTTGGCAATACAATTGTAAAAAATAATGCTTACAACAAAAATAAATAAACAATAAAATTGAAAAAATTATGACTAATGTTTAATAAGTTTCTTCCTCAATGATTAACAGAGATTATCATCATTACCTTCTTGAAAATCTAAAACTTGACAAAATCAAATCATTTATCATTGAAAGTATAAAAATTGAAGATCTCACTGTTTGTTTCCCATATTTGAATAAAGATTTATACACAAGCACTACCACAGAAAATACCCATACTTGACGCTTATTTTTCCCAATACTTGACAGTTTTTAACCGTCAAGTAAGGGTGCGACATATATTAAAGAAATAATACTTGACGGTTAAAAACCGTCAAGTATTAATCTTATACTTGACGGTTATTTGAAAACAACCGTCAAGTATATGAAGTAAATATGTACTTCCCAACATAAATACTTGATGCTTGTTTCAAAACAAGTGTCAGGTATTAATACCTGACGCTTGTTTTGAAAAAAGTATCAAGTATTTATGGCCAATGTTCTTTTGGCCATAAATACTTGACGCTTGTTTCCTTATAACCGTCAAGTATTTACAAATACTTGATGCTTGTTTTGAAACAAGCATCAAGTATTTTGATACTTGACGGTTATTTTGAAATAACCGTCAAGTATTGATGACATAATTTTTTTTTATATGGTAGCTGCTTTTAAAGCAGCCCCCTGCATAAAGATACAGATAAAGATAAAAAACAGTCAGCCAGCAACGAAAATAATGCAATATAATGAATGTTTGTAATAGTATCTCCTATCTAATTAACATAAAAATTTCTATACATTTAACCTTAAAATCTAAACTTATTTGCAAACTAATGTTTCAAAATTAAGTGGCCTATCCCATAAAAATTGGCCCCAAAATGTGTATATAAATGTAACTAACTATTGTACCGGCCTAACTACTGTTGCTACCCACATATTGAAAACACATTGGGCCACCTCTTCAAGGACCTCTTCTATATGTGCAGTCGTATAACGAACGCAATAGACGTCCTCGAAGTACTGTAAGCAAATAGTTACAACAATTTCAAGTTAATAGGTAGCTAATTAAAATTGTTTAAAATTTATAATTGAAGTGTAATTAAATTTTATATATATACCTTGTTAGATAATGTGGTAGGGCATGAGTGATAATGTCCTTCATGAACTTCATCAAGCAATAACCATAGTCATTGCTCTGATCTGGCTGGAATGGACACTATAAAAAAACACATATCAATGAAATTGCAAAATATAATGAGACAATTTCTTGATTAAAGACTTGACCAATTAAATGAATACCTTAACAGTGACTCATTTCTCTGAAGATTCGAATGCCCTCATCTTAGGGGACACAGTCATGTCGGTCGCAGTGCGATACAACACCACAGCTCTAAGAAGGAATTATGGAATGAATGTGAGAAATATATATGAATGAAAACTAAAATTAAAAAGAAATGACAAGTAAAAAAATCTAACTTACTCATTAAAAAGTACCACTATATCTTCCCTGTTGCTTGGCTTTCCATTAAGGGGATCGAGATACCATATTTTTGGAGCAACGGGATTAACCACAATAAGCATCCAGTGTCCCCTAACAAGAAACAGCACATGTTACCAAACAAATAAATATAAAAAAAATTTACTCGTAACAAATATTAACAACTTACCCTTGGCAGTAAGGAGCGAGAAATAAAGTATCCTTCGCTGCTCCCCTTTCTCGAAATTGATCCGAAAGCATTCTTACTTGATTTTCAAGGGCTTCCTTTGTAATATTATTGTGGGGAGAGACATCATGAGGATTAACCAGCTTGATCTTTGACTCGAGGCCACCAGGAACCACGAATGAGGTATAAAGGTGACTTGGGTGAAAAAATATACAAGTTAATATGCTTGCATACTCACACACATAAATAATTCAAGAAATTAACTAATAAATGTTGAAGAATTACCTCATGTAGAAATTCATCAAACTAGTGCTCGCCATATTGTGCTTGAGGATTTCATTCAAAATTTCATCCCGAACGACTTCAAATGATGCTCTACCAAATAGCCCATCGTCAAAATTAATGATATCCCCTATCGGCTCTTGACAAATCATCCTCGTAGCCGAAGCATAGGTCTCAAGAGAGTCACGAAATTTGTTTTCTACAACAGGCATAGGCACTGCATGTTGCAAAACTGTGACTGACTCTTTAGTATGGCCCGACACCTTATCCTTCAATTTGCTTTTCCCCCTTGGCTATACAATGAAAAAGTTAGACATATATATATATATATATTAAAGATTTTAAATAATTATATAAATCATATATACCTTTTTCTTTGGTGGCAAGGGGTCCTTTGGCGGCTTTAGGTCCTTTGTCGGCTTTGGTGTACCAACCATAACAAGGTAGCTGGGCCATGCAATGAAGCTCCCCAACGCATCTCCTACCATTTGTATCTCATCGGTAGGATAAGGTAATGGATACTTGGGGTCGATTGCAACAAGCAAGGAAACCCTAATGCAATCGGGCGGGAGGGGAAGGTTATGGATTGTGTCCCCGGCAATGTTATACACGCGTCCCGTTGCAACTACTTTGCGTGACGAATTGTCTGCTAAACAGTTGCAGTCATTCTCGCCCTAAATAAATGAAGAATGTTAGTTGTTTAGATAAAAAATTAGTTGAGCAAATTTAAAAGAGAAAATGCATTACCTCGGGTATTTTGTCTGAAGGGACTGTGCAGCTATCTTTTCCGCTGGGGCTAACGTCACCCAAAAGCCTCCCAGGGATCTGGCCCTTCAATAGCATGTCAATTAACTTTGCTTGGCTTCTAGCTGTTGCTTTATAACAGCATGCTCTTCTCTCAACTCTTGGACCTCGGATGAAGAAGCCGATGTTCGCTTCTTAATCTTGCCAAAGTATTGCTTCTTTGTGACACCGAAGCCAACACCCCTAACACGACCAGGGTGGTCAGAGGTCCCCAACGCTCTAGTTAAGATATCCTCATGCTCAGGAAGCTTGCCCTGTGATACTTCTTGAGAGAGGGAATCCTGTGAAAAGTAGAGCTAATTAGTATACCTTTTAATAAT